AAAAAAAAAAAAAAAAAAAAAAAGAAGAAGAAGAAGAAGAAAAAAAAAAGGTCATAAAAAAGAATAATATCAGGTAGGGCTTAGTTCACCCCAACTAATCAAACTTCCTTTTCAACAACAGTTCTTATGTTAGGTTGGCCTAACCATTGCAAGCATCTCTTCACTTTCATACTTCCATTAAAAAATTGTCATACTTTAGAAAATAACATAAGCAGAAGTATTACATTTAGTATTATAATAAGGCATTCGACCGTCTAATGGTTAGGGCATTAGGCTACCTTAACACTAGAATTTGTGGTTATCCAAAGTATAACTCCACAGAGGGTTCACCAATTTTATTACGGTACTACACATTAATAACACAAACATCATGACTCACAATAAGATTGGTGGAATGGAGATTAAAACATACCTTGTGAGCTGAGAACAAAACATTTGGAGACTCAGCAGCAGTATCAAGTTCCTCAGTAAGTTGATGCTGAAGCTCCACTGACCCATTCGAAAAATGCAGAGGTGGCGAGGAGGTGGGTAACGATGAACCAGAAGAATAAGCAATGGGCTGAGGAGTTGCAGGGGAGGTTCTAAATGGAACAGCAGCCGGTTGGAGAGGAGATGAAAAGACCGGTGGGCCAGGAGGCGTGCTCATGTGGGGCACGGGGCTACCAGCTCGGATCCCATTTGCAGGAGACGGTAAATTGGGAGTCTTTATCGATGGGGAAGGGATCTGGTTAGGGTTTATTACCGGCGGAGGAGGGAACCTTGGTATTGACGGTGAAGACGACGGGGGAGAAGAAAGGGGAGGAGCTCCGAATTTGGTATCCAGCTTAGGAGGCGGAGGAGTAACGGCGGATTCGTAATAGCCGGAAGACGATTGCTGCGGACCGGCCATTGGAATCCGAGACGCTGAAACTTAACGGAAATGGGGGAAGTCAGATCGGCGAATGCGAAACGGGTCGGCCCGGCGGAACAAATCAGGACAAGAGGGAGATCAAGCTCCGGCTTTTGCTACTGATTCGGATAGAATCGGCGGGAAAAGGGGGCGATCGAGCTCCGCCGGTTGCGGCTGAGTCGGCGGGGAGTCGGCAGCTCGGACTTTCCGGCGGGTCGAGCGCGGATCAAATGGGCGAATGGTGTAGGTATCCTCTGATGAATGAGACACCTTCGCCGGCGGGTCTTCTTATTCCGTGGGGCCACCCTTGTTCCTCGAATCACGGCGGCAGGCGGCTTGGCCGACGAAGAGGATGATCAAGCTAGAATGATTGGCATTTAGGGCTCAATTCACGATTCACTGAATATGCGTTTCTTGCTGTCAGTACAGGAAGACCATTAGACCAAATCGAAGTGCATAATTGCATCTTGCACCCTTGAATTATTTATTTGACATTTTGCACCACGAATATGTAAATTAATGGTGCTTTATAGCACTTCCACAAAACAAAAGATGAAATCTAGCTATCTTTTTAAAAAAAATGAAATATAACCATTTTGAGTTGAAAAAAGACCAAATTGCCCTTTTTCACCTTTTTCCATTTTTACATCTCTCCACTTCCATTTTTCCGCTTTCATTTTTGTGTTAATACCACTAAATGGCCATATAAATTTACAAAACACAAATTTTGGCCATGTTTTATAAAAAACATTTTTTTTAGCCATTTTGGTATATATTTTTACTACATTACCCTAAATCAATTGTACCATTACATTAATTTTTTTTTTCCCCCAATTCAATTCATTTCATCTTCCAAAAAATCTATTCCCCGCTCGTCCGAAAATTCCATCTTCAATCTTCACCGCGAACCTCTTTCGACTGTGCACCGTCCGAACACCTCACGATTTCAACCTTGTCCGAACGACCTCGACCCGACCTCACGCCCGACCTCACGACCTCGACCTCGCCTTCACTCTTCACGACCGAATACCGTTCGGGAAGTTCCACATCCGCCCTTCACTCTTCACGACCTCGCCTTCACGACTCTTCACGACCTCGCCGGAATCTGAAATCAGGTAGCGAAAGTAACGACCTCCCCTTGTGGTTCGAATTAGGGTTTTTTTTTTTTGTTTCAACCGACACGACGAGGTTCTTGCAGTCATACCCACGGACCCATACGACCAGCTGGATCTGGCCC